ATTAGAGGTCAGAGTGTCTGAGGTCAGAGTGTCGATCAGAGAGTGTCGGTCAGAGTGTCGGTCAGAGGTCGTCGGTCAGAGGTCAGAGTGTGTCAGTCAGAGTGTGTCGATCAGAGGTCAGCGTGTCAGTCAGCGTGTCGATCAGAGGTCAGAGTGTCTGAGGTCAGAGTGTCGATCAGAGAGTGTCGGTCAGAGTGTCGGTCAGAGGTCGTCGGTCAGAGGTCAGAGTGTGTCAGTCAGAGTGTGTCGATCAGAGGTCAGCGTGTCAGTCAGCGTGTCGATCAGAGGTCAGAGTGTCGATCAGAGAGTGTCGATCAGAGGTCAGAGTGTGTCGACCAGAGGTCAGAGGTCAGTGTGTTGTGATGACTGACCTCAGCATGGAACTGGACGGCTTTACTGTCACACATCGGCAGCTGAGAGGTGAGCTCTGACACGCGGCTCATGTAATGATGCTTGATCAGATGTTCACGAGACTCCTGATCTGCAGCCTACGGCACACAAACATCATCAACACCTCATGATTCATATTCATACAGCAGGAGTGAGTGTGCAGATACGGTTAATGAACATGAATACATACGCTCTCGCTGCAGGGAGTGATGGTCAGCATCCCGATCTGACAATACAGACACATCATTACACATTACAGACAGAATAAACATTTCAATAATGCCTTTACTTTACATCCAGTAATATTTGATAACAGATAATATAACCTGTACTGTACAACCTGGTTTTAAACACCGTTCAGTTCACATTACGTTCTAATGGACATTTAAAAAAAAACTACAACTAGTTTTTGACACCTGCAACAAGGAAACAAGACACTCTGTGACACACATAGGAAATATGAAAGATTTGAAATGAAATTGAATTGAGCTGAACACAGACTCCAGTGTTTTGATTGGTCTTGAGTGGATTCCCCACTAACTCAAACTCCTCTGATTGGCTACTGCGTTCAAGAGCTCATGTCTGTGATTGGCTGTGACTGCAAACAACGTTTCTTCAGAGCGCAAACACAATACACCGTGATGAACTCCACTGGAAAGGTGTTTGCCCTTTGAATTAGGGATAGGGGAGCTCATACGGCTTTTTGGCTAGGTTTAAAGGAACAGAGCACTTTTAGATAATAGATACTCGTGGAGGAAGGAAAACAGAGCTCTTTATGAGCCACAGGATTGCTTGTAATAAAGATTTCAATGCAAAAGAAAAGGCAGTAGAGCTGACTATTTCTGTCAATGGTAAGTTTGTGATAACATAAGAAAAGTAGTTTAAATGTTTTGCCACTTGCTTGAGCAACTTCATATATAAATCTAGCAGTAAATGCAAAAGTAAAAAGCATTGAATAATGTGTTGCTTATATTTATTGTGTTTAAACACGTCTGTGAAAGATTGTATTACTGTACTGTGTAAAAAAAAACAATCACGATGCTGAAAAAGCATTTCCAGAGACCATGTTTGGATTTGAAATCAGAATACTGGATGAATGTTGTGTTTGTGGAAAACAGCCGTGGATCAGCAGCGGTCTCCTGAGTGAAAGCTGCTTCTGCACCACACATGGACTGCAAACAGAGTGTGTGTGAACCTCACACAGACTTTACTTGGGCGGGAATATATGGAGAAACATTTGTGCTTATTATTTTTATTCTCATACTTTTTTATCCGGCCAAAATAATGAAACCCTCCGCGATCGATTAACTACACGTTTGGTATCTGCTGGTTCTGTGTGCGCGAGAACCGTTCCCTCGTGCGCTGCAGAGACGCGGCGGATATTTCTCAGACACACACAGGGCTCGACAGTGCGGGCGCTTCAGTCGCAAATAAAAATAGAGGTGCGTGAACTGTAAAATGTATTTAAGGATAATAAAGCAAAATCCCTCCGGGTGAGTTTTCTTAAATTTAATGTCATAAAAAGTCTTCAATACATAAAATGATCAAGACGTTTGTTTTACCATTTTAAGTCGTTTTATATTTTGGGGATGGAAAAACATAAATCACGATACAGCCTATATCGACTATGAAACTTCTAAATAATTTTTTTTTAAAAGAGCGCTGCACATTGCAGTGTCTCAACAGCGCTTCAGACTGCTTCAAAGTGATTCTCAGTCAATGAAGAGCGCACATTTATGCCAAGCGATTTCTTATGAACTCGAGTTGAAGAATTATGACAATGTCTACTTTATGGCCTTTATAATATATGTTTTAGACGGTTGTAAAAATGCATATTTTATCTATCACCTGAAGAACCATCCCGCAATAGTATAGATATTTCATAATAAGAGTCCCGGTGTATTTCGGGCTTCTTTATACTTAAGTCACACGTTAAGTTTTTTTGGGGGGGTATTATTGGTAGTTTTGGTAACAATTAATTGTATTTAATTTAAATTTAATTTCCATTTCATTCATAGTAAAGTATTGTAGTTTCTGGCTGGGAGGCTTCCCCACAGGAAGAAAAGACTAAGAACATTATTTGACATATTATTCAATATATAGATGTTACTAGTATCAGTAAAATCTGTGTCCCATTCACTGAGAGAGACACTGCATGACAAAGGAAGGAGAAATCTACCATTGAAATGCTGTGATTTTGCATAATGTACAATGCATATAATAATGCATAATATTAGTATGTAATTAAATGCAATAGTAGCCTATGTAATTAAAATGAATTTCAATAAATTAAAATATTGTTAGAAATCACACATTATTTGTTATTTGTCACATGTAGACCATTTTTGTGCCGTGGGTAATAGTAGGATTTTCCGCAAACCTGTGGGAAGCACTGATACAGCTCACCAAATCAGGCTTGTGCTGTGTGTAAGCTATTGTGCAACAATTACACGATTGTCAAAACAAAAATGCACTGCATGATCAAACATTTAGGTGAGATAAATATATATTTTTAAAGAAAAGTCTAAAAATGCCCCCCTCCACCCCTCAAATAAAAAAATCCCCCTCACAAGAGTCACCTAAGAGGGGAATTCGTTTTCAAAAATGAAATTCAAGCCCTGAATAAATGTCTAAAAATCCTGATTGGAGTATGACTGTAAATAATTCTACATGATAAAAAGAAGGCTTTGAAAAGCTCGGTATCAGTGATCGTATCGGCAGATACTGCTTTCTGTGATCGGCCTCAAAAATTGATCGGAGCACCCCTAATCAGGGATGCACCCAATGTTCGGCAGCCCAAATTATTGGCAGAAAATAAGCAAATAAATTGTACTGAACAATAACGTGATGCGATCAAATAGAGGCACGCAAAACCACTGACGGCAAGAGACTGTTCTGCGCTGCATCTCATGTCTCCGATGAGAAGAGGAAGAGTGGTCACTGTGTGATGATTGAAATCACCAAATAGCCTTAAACTATTAGTACATAAACTGCAGAACGTTATGTTTCCTAATACACGCGTGAATAGCATGTGTTCTGACAGTGCGGCGCTATCTGCTCGTTAGCCAGGGTTCAAAACCTGCGCTGAAACAGTGTTACACGCCAGCTGCTCGGTCAAGTTAGGCAAAATACATGGTGGAAAAACCATGTGGGGTATTCGGCCTGCGGCCCAGTGTTTCATTTTGTTCTGCTTCGGCTTCAGCCAAGAACTGTCATTTCGGTGCATCCTAACTTTGAATAGCATTGAATAGTTTCTTGTGTTACACATGTTAAGCATTGCTCCTGAAGAGGACTAGTGTATATCTGTGCTCTGAAAGCATGATTCTCCCGCTGACGCCATGATCTGATGAATGACCTGACGTGATTTAAAAGATGATAAAGCATGCTTACTAATGAAAGTGTAAGTGTAATCTCTGTTATGGTTATCTGAGGTGTTGTCAACTTGTTACTTTATGTTTATTGTACATATGATTTGTTCTGTTTAGATGGAAATGCATGATATGAACTTGTATAATGCACTGAATTAATATGGGAATATATTTTGTTTTGCCTGCTTTTGTTCATTAATGATCAATGAGACTGAATAAAGAAAGAACAGGATTTTATGGGGATCATATAAAAGTGGTGATTAAATTCATTGAGTAGATTCCTTAGCGCAGTTTAATCTATGAATGACTGAATGATTAATTGTAAACTATCCGTACACTACCAGACTGCACAGCTCTTTAAAAATGAAAGCATCAGAACACACAGGAGTGTGGGAGAGCTGAGAGATGAATGTGTGTGTGTCACTCACCACGCTGCTGTCCTGAAGGGGCTCTGGAGCGTCAGCACAATCGGGATCAGGGCCGTCTGCGGTGCTGTGCGTCTCTGCTGGACCTCCGGCGGTGATCTGAGCCTCCAGCTGAGCGATGCGCTGAGTCTCCTTCTGCAGATGCACCTGCCCCAGCTGAGCCTCCAGCAGCCAGTGCTCCTTCTCCTGCTCCAGACGAGAGATCTTCTCCTGACTCTGAGCCACCTGACGAGCACACGCACCGTCAGACAGACAGACAGACAGAGACACACACACACACACACACACACACACACAGAGACAGATGGTCTGAGACGTGTCTGCACATGTACCTGCTGCATGAGTCCCTCTCTGCTCTCCGTAGAGCTCGTCAGAATGTGTCTGTTTGCTACCGCTTCTCTGTACGAAACAGACTCTGACCGCACCTGAACACATGAAAACACAACAACTCTCAGTCAAGTGAACAATACAATGACTCGATTCACTGCGTCTGAAGACTGGAAGACTAGTCCCGCTCTGCTTTTATCTCCTCCCTCTCCCCCAATTCACGCTAGTCATACTTTCAGCTCAGAAACGATGAAAATCTGTATAACTATGTAAAAATCCCATCCTGTGTGGGGGTCTGCAGAGCTCTGCTTTAGGAGTCCAGACGTCTGTGTGTGAGTGATGAAGACCTTTCTGATGGTGCTCATGTAGGTGGCAGCACGTCTCTTGTTCTCCATCACGCTGTCGGCCTGTCGCGGGTTTAGGAAGCCTCCTCGCGGACTGTAGCCGGGACACGACGCCAAGAAATCCAGGTTGTTGCTGAAGAAAGTGGCCATCTGGAGGAGATATTATAACTGAATGAAGAGGAGTGCAGTGCTGCGTGTCAGAGGTGTGTGTCTGTGTGAAGTGTGTGTGTGTTAGAAATGGTAAGATTCACTGATTCGCTCAGTGCATCGGCATAAAATTTAACGATGTGATGCATCGATTTACAAAAAGTGTGCATCGAATATAAGTTGACATTTGTATCACAATGCATCTTTTCCAACTAGTGCGGTCAATCACATCCAAAATAAAAGTTTGTTTACATAATATATGTATGTGTGCTGTGTATATTTATTAAGTATATATAAATACACACGCATGCATGTATACAGGTGCATCTCAAAAAATTTTCTCTCTCTCTTGTTCTCTGAAACCACAATAATGGGGAAGACTGGTGACTTGGCCATGGTCCAGAAGACGATCACTGACACCCTCCACAAAGAGTGTAAGTCACAGAAGCTCATTACTGAAAGAGCAGCTGTTCACAGAGTGCTGTATCAAAGCATAATAAATGCAAAGTTGACTGAAAGGAAGAAATTGGGTGGGAAAAGGTGTCCAAGCAACAGTGATGACCCAGGCTTGAGAATACTGTCAAGCAAAGCTGATTCAAACACTTGGGAGAGCTTCACCAGGAATGGATTGAAGCTGGAGTCAGTGCATCAAGAGTCACCACGCTCAGACGTCTTCAGGAGAAGAGCTACTAAGCCACTTCTGAAACAGAAACAGCGTCAGAAGCATCTCACCTGGGCTAAGGAGAAAAAGAACTGGACTGTTGCTCAGTGCTCCAAAGTCCTCTTTTCAGATAAAAGTAAATGTTGCATTTCATTTGGAAATCAAGGTCTGGAGTCTGGAGGAAGACTGGAGAGGCACAGAATCCAAGCTGCTTTAAGTCCAGTGTGAAGTTTCTGAAAACAGTGATGATTTGGGGCGCCGCAACGTCTGCTGGTGTTGCTCCATTGTGTTTTATCAAGTCCAAAGTCAATGCAGCCATCTACCAGGAGATTTTGGAGCACTTTATGCTTCCATCTGCTGACAAGCTTTATGGAGATGCTGATTTCCTTTTCCAGCAGGACTTTAGCACCTGCCCACAGTGCTAAAACCACTTCCAACGATATTACTGTGCTTGATTGGCCAGCCAATATGCCTGACCTGAAGCCCATATGGAGTCTATGGGATATTTTCAAAAGAAAGATGAGAAACAGTGGGTCCGAGCTGAAGCTCAATAGTGTCTCAGCAGAGCCACAGGCTGATCGCTTCATGCCACGCCTCACTGATGCTGGAGTTTGTACGAAACGAGCCCCGAATAAGTATTGAGTGCATAAACGAACATACTTTAAAGAACTTGAGCTTTTCTGTTTTGCAAAGCTCTTCTCCTGAAGACGTCTGAGCGTGGTGACTCTTGATGCACTGACTCCAGCTCCAGTCCACTCCTGGTGAAGCTCTCCCAAGTGTTTGAATCAGCTTTGCTTGACAGTATTCTCAAGCTTGCGGTCATCCCTGTTGCTTGTGCACCTTTTCCCACCCAATTTCTTCCTTCCAGTCAACTTTGCATTTAATATGCTTTGATACAGCACTCTGTCAACAGCTGCTCTTTCAGTAATGAGCTTCTGTGAATTACACTCTTTGTGGAGGGTGTCAGTGATCGTCTTCTGGACCATGGCCAAGTCAGCAGTCTTCCCCATTATTGTGGTTTCAAAGAACAAGAGATACCCAGAACTTATACTGTGGGGATGGTCATTTAATGAAACTCAAATGTAAATATTCTAATATTTTGAGATACTGGATTTTTGACTTTCATGAGCTGTAAGCTCTAACCATCAAAATTAAAACAAACAAAAAAAAACTTTTGAAATGTTTTACTTCACATGTAATGCATCTAGAATATATCAAAGTTTCACTTTTTGAAATAAGCTACAAAAAATTCACGATATTAAAATTTTTTGACATGCACCTGTATATTTCAGAAAAAAATTATGTTTATATATTAAATATATTTATAATACAAATCATATGAATGTAAATACATGTAAATATTTTCAAAATATATACTGTGTGTATTTATATATACATCATTTTACATTTAAACATTTAGCAGATGCTTTTATCCAAAGTGACTTACAAACGAGGACAATGGAAGGAATCAAAATCAACAAAAGAGCAATGATATGCAAGTGCTATAACAAGTCTCGTTAGCTTAACGCAGTACACGTAGCAAGTTTTTTTTTTAAATAATATAATAAAAAGAAAACAGATAGAATAGAAAAAAATAGAGCAAGCTAGTGTTAGAGGTCTTTTTTGCTTTTGTTAATTGTATAATGATTGAAAAGAAAACAGATAGAATACAAAAAAATTAGAAAGCAAGTGTTTTTTTATTTTTTTAAGAAAACAAGCAGCAAATGAATAGAGTGCAAGTCTAAAAGGGACAAGTGTTTTTTTTTTAAGAATAGAATTAGAATAGAGAGTGCTAGAGTTAGAGGGTCAAATAAAGATGGAAGAGATGTGTTTTAGCCGATTCTTGAAGATGGTTAAGGACTCAGCTGCTGGGATTGAGTTGGGCAGGTCATTCCTCCAGGAGGGAACAGTTAATGTAAAAGTCTGTGAAAGTGATTTTGTGCTTCTTTGGGATGAACAATAAAATGACGTTCACTTGCAGAACACAAGCTTCTAGAGGCACATAACTCTGAAGTAATGAATTCAGGTAAAGGGGTGGTTTTGTAGGCAAACATTAATGCCCTGAATGTAATGCAAGCAGCTATCGGTAGCCAGTGCAAATTGATAGAGGTGTGACGTGCATTCTTTTTGGCTCGTTAAAAATTAAGGGCAGTTTTAGCAATGTGGTCTGAGAAACTCAGCTTATCATCAATCATAACGCCAAGGTTTCTGGCTGCTTTTGAAGCAGTTATGGTTGATGGTTGATGGTGGTGGCTAACTGGATGGTGAAATTGTGATGAAACGATTGGGTTTGATGGAACCACAAGCAGTTCTGTCTTGGCAAGGTTGAGTTGAAGGTGATAATCCTTCATCCAGAAAGAAATTTCTGTTAGACAAGCTGAGATGCGAGCAGCTATCGTCGGATCATCAGGATGGAATGAGAGGTAGAGTTGAGTGTCATCAGCATAGCAGTGATATGAAAAGCTATGTTTCTGAATGACAGAACCTGAATGCCATGTAGACAGAGAAGAGAAGTGGTCCAAGTACTGAGCCCTGAGGCACCCCAGTAGCTAGATGTTGTGACTTGGAGACCTCACCTCTCCAAGATACCTTGAAGGACCTATCTGAGAGATAAGACTCAAACCACTGGAGTGCGGTTCCTGAGATGCCCTTTGCTAATATGGTTGACAGGAGGACCTGGTGGTTCACCGTATCAAAAGCAGCGGACAGATCCAGCAAGATAAGTATAGAAGATTTGGAAGCCGCTCTTGCCAGTCTTAGGGCTTCAACAACTGAGAGCAAGGCAGTCTCGGTTGAATGTCCACTTCTGAAGCCAGATTGGTTGCTGTCCAGGAGGTTGTTCTGTGTGAGAAAGGCAGAGACTTGGTTGAACACAGCTCGTTCAAGTGTTTTTGCAATGAAAGGAAGAAGGGAAACCGGTTTGTAGTTCTCTAAAAGAGATGGGTTAAGAGTGGGTTTCTTAAGTAGTGGGGTTATACGAGCCATAATAAAAATACACAGAACACACATATATTATGCAAACAAAAACTCTTATTTTGTACGCAATTAATTGTTTGACAGCACTATTTCTAACATATTTGCATAAGTAAAAACTATTTACTTACAGTGGTGTCCAAAATGATCAGAACACTAGTATTTTCAGCAGCTAAAAAAATGGTTTTAAGTCAGTTATTTCTATCTTTTGCTGCAGTGTGTCAGTAGGAAATATCAGTTTACATTTCCAAACATTCCTTTTGCCATTAATTGTAATAATCCAGTGAAATGTTTGTGCTCCACACAGAGATGTGATCTGATCATCATCAGTCTGTCTGGAATGACATGAAGAAACAGAACACACTGAGACAGACTCAATCTGAAGGTGAAGACCTTTCCACAGCTGTTGGTGAGCGATGCCAGTGAGGACAGCAAACAATCATTAGTGGTGCGAAACTTCTGCGTGACGGTGGGCAGATCCTGCTCCAGAGACGCCTTCTGACTGTAGTGCTGCGACAGCTCTGCTCACACACACACACACGCAGCGTTTAAGACTAGTCAGTAAAGAAGATTTAAGGAATAAATTGAAGTGAACACAATATGTCAATACATTCTCTAAAACTACATGTCTAGACCAGGGGTCTCCAACCTTTTTTACACCGCGGGCCGG